GCTTTGTTTATTTTGTTGATAGATTAAGTCCTTTTATCACGGCTTCTAATTCTAGACGCAACTAGTTTGCTATCGGAAAGTGTCTGGTCAGCTGTCTGCATCAAGAAAAGATTTGCCGACGTGTCATTTTTCTTTTAGGAACTTTGAGTATGTTGTCATGTTTCCAACGGACTTGGTGGTGTTGTTTATAAATTCGCAATCTAAACACACAACAACCGACAAGTTTTTTGGCGATTTCCAATCCGATTATCTCAAAATTTTTTCCAGCTCCGAAGTTTGATACTGCAAACATCACCATCTGCATTATGACTGGATACAAGTTGATTCAGATCACGGTAGTCCATCACCAGACAAATCTTTAATTTGTTTGGTGCTTCCAGCAGCCATTTCCAAGACACACTCTACTATTTTTAAACTCTGCTACGAAATTTTACCAATCAATTTTTGAATAGTAGGTGAGGATACTTAATTCATTTTTTCTTGAAAGACTGCAGTAGTGCCAATAATTAGTTGTTATACATTGAACTTTATGGTTTCACCGTCTCTCCCGACTCGGACACCTCTAAGCAGTCGTATTGCGTCCATACCAAGTTGCTTTTGATATTTGGGAACAATGTCGGCAAACAGGCATTCCGAACCAACGCGTCAATTTGGAATCATTTATTTTAATCAAAGTTTCAATCAAAATTTAAATTATTTAGTTCGCGACGGTGTTGTCATTTATAAAAAGGTCAACAACAACCTGGTGTTTTAATAATCAACAACAATCTGGTGTTTTAGTCTTCAAATGACTTCCCACTCATCATGAAAGCTGCTATACACAAGGACATGAAGTATTTGTGAAACCACCTGACTCAAAATGTACGAGCAAATGGAATAGATGAGGAGTCTCAGATGCAGGACGAGGAGTTTTGGTAGAAATCAATGGACTTCCAAGACACACATCAGACATTCGTCCTGCTCCTATAGCAGCTGACGTGTGTAGAAGAGAATCGGAAAAATCTATCACGGACAACTTGAATCTCAGAAGATTGACAAGAGTGCGGAAGTTTCCGGATCGGTATGCGGACTAGAGATCAAGGAGTGTTGTAAATGTGTTGTCAAAAGAGTAAAGATATTCATGAAGACAGGAAGGAAAAAAAACAAATTAAATTTATTATTACGCTAACCATATTATTCTTGTTAGGGTTTCAATTTAATCCTACTTGCTGAGAAGTATTTCTTACATTTTAACAATGATTAATTTCATTTAGCTTAGCTCTTTTATTTCGATGACTCTTTTTTTATGAATTCTCCTAACACTTATTATCCTCATTGTCCTTATTAGGGTTCAAATTAATTTATGCTCGCCGAACAACATTTCTTAAATTTCTTTTTCATTTTGATAACAATCATTTTCAAGTCGCCTCTCAGCATTTATTTTTTAGTTCCTTTGAGTCTATTTCATGAGTAAATAACTGAATATATTAGTAATAAATTAGTATGACAGAAAATTAATACAAACTCTTTATAAAATGAACTTACATGTTAATGAAAAATATTAAACAATATTAACATCAATTATTTTTAATTTAACAAAGAACGCAGTTAAATTAAAAATAATTGAACTACAATACACGATCTTGTTTAATAAATGAAGCAGTGTTAGTCACTATATTTTAATCTAAAGTAATAAGAATGATGAAACTATTTAATAAGAAATTTAACAATTGTTAAAAAACCTTTAACTATTATTCAAATTCTTTTAATAAGAAACAGGATTCATTTTACTTTAAACAAAGAAACATGGTCCATTTTACTTTAAACAAAGAAACATGGTCCATTTTACTTTGTTTAAATATCACTCAGAAGAATAATCATCTTTTTTAGATTCCAGCAAAAAAAAATTTTAATTTTTTTTAAAGAAAGATTTATTATTGAATTTTTTTTTATGGTTGAGATAATTACTTTTTACTTAAGCATAGTCCTTAAAGATACAATTTTTTTTTTTTTGTGATTACTTTTTTGTTCTTTTGAGTTTTTTTAAGTTCCATTAAAATAAGCTCTTCTTAGGAAATCCTAAAATGAGATGATTGGGTGTGTTAAAAATAACGCATATTTTGGTATAAAGATTTTTATGAACTATTTATTTATACTAGCTGAGATGGAACCCGTAAAGATACGGGTCTTTGTAAGTCTATTTCAAACCGAACTTTTTTACACTTTTTCTTTATATATCCTAGCTTTCCGGATCCGCAAAATACGCGTCTTTTCCAAACCTAATATTTCTATACATACCTGTTCCACACCGATTGTTTCTATACCTATTCCTTAATTACTTCAATACTTTTTAGTAAAATATTTTTCTCTGAAAAAAAAACTTCAAGAGCAAAAAATTTAACATGCGCACCTTTTCCGCATAGAGCTTATAACTTATAAGCTCTACGTAGGCGGAAAAGGAGCGCATGTTAATTTTTTTGCTCTTAGAGTTTTTGTATATAATATCTTATAATATAAGAGACTCATAATTCAGTTTTTTTTTTTTTTTGCTAAATGCATTTGATTGATAGCTCAGTGGTTAAGTACGCTGTCCTCAGTTTTGTTTTGGGGGGTTTAAGACCTCCTCTTTGTGTAATAATTCTGAAATTTTTTCAATCTTGCATATACTTATAGCAAAAAAATAATAATATAGCAAAATAGATTTCTAAAATTTAAAATGAAATTTTTAAGTTTTGTTATTTTATACATATATTATACGCGATTATTCCATATAATTATAATTAATGTTATAAATAATGAAGAGTATGTCAGTAGTGACGTAATCTCAGAAAAGTTTAACA